TAGATAGATAGATAGATAGATAGATAGATAGATAGATAGATAGATAGATAGATAGATAGATAGATAGATTGATTGATTGATTGATTGATTGATTGATTGATTGATTGATTGATTGATTGATTGATTGATTGATTGATTGATTACTCCCTACAGCCACCATCCCCAAGCTTATCAGGCAGTGGCAAGGTTCCTTTTGTTTCCCTAAAATAAATAAAAAATAAAAAAGAAAGTGGGTTGGTTCTCTGAGCACGCTAGAACAGTGGTTGGAAAACAGGGGTAAATTACTCCAAATTGGGTAAAAATGAAAACCCTAATTGTTGAAAATTGAGGGAGGATGGTTTGTGTGTGTGTGTGTTTGTGTGTGTGTGAGAGAGACAGAGAGACAGAGAGACTTGACACTTTCATAAAACCATGAAAAAGAAACCTTTTAAAATTTAATCTCCACTGCATTTAGCTCTGCATTTTCTGCTGAGAACAGCAGAAGTCTGAAGTGTGTGGCAATCACATTTCTCATCCCCAAAGCAGACAATATAGTTTATTCCCAAAATCTGAATCCCAGTTTTTCTGCTCCTGGTCCTACTTTGAATGCAGCACCAAACAAAAGACTGTGGGTTTCTTTATTGAGTCAATCCATCTCATGTGCAATCTTCCTTTTTTCCAACTGCATTGCACTTTTTCCTGCATTGTTGCCTTTTCCAGTGAGCTTGTCTTCTTATGATGCCACTGTAGTACAGTACCCTTTGTTTGGTTATTTTAGCTTGTAGTGAAAGTCCACACTTAATTTGCTTTACTTATCTTTCTGACAAGTCATAATAGATTTGTCATCGTTTTCCTAAGGTGTCTTTTAATTTCATGGCTGCTTTCACCATCTGCAGTGATCATGGAGCCCAAGAAATTAAAATCTCTCACTGCCTCCATACCTTCCCCTTCTATTTGCCAGTAGGTGATGGGACCAGTGGCCATGATCATTGTTTTTTTGATTTTGAGCTTCAGATCATTTTTGCGCTGTCCTCTTTCACCCTCATTAAGAGGTTCTTTAATTCCTCCTCCCTTTCTGCCATCAGAGTGGTATCATGTGCATATTGGAGGTTGTTGATATTTCTTCCAACAATCTTAATTCCAGTTTGGGATTCCTCCAGTCCTGCCTTTTGCATGATGTATTCTGCATATATAGTGGTGCCTCGCTTAATGAGGATAATCCGTTCCAGCGAAATCGCTGTCAAGCGAAACCCTTGTTAAGTGAAATAAAAAATCCCATTGAAACACATTGAAAACCCATTCAGTGCGTTCCAATGGACTGAAAAACTCACCGTCTAGCGAAGATCCTCCATAGGGACGGCCATTTTCGGTGCCTGTATAGCGAGGAATCCATCCAAAAACACAGCAGGGAGCCATTTTACACAGTGGGTGGCCATTTTAAAGCCGCAGATTAGCTGTTTTAAAAACGTCGTAATGCGAAGAATCGGTTCCCGAAGCAGGGAACCGATCGTCACAAAGCGGATTTTGCCTATTAAAACATCATTTTGCAAAAGCAATCGCAAAACATTCATCGTATAGCGGTTTCATTGTTTAACGAGGCAATTGTTAAGTGAGGCACCACTGTAAGTTAAATAAGCTGGGGGACAATATACAGCCTTGTTGCACTCCTTTGCCAATTTTGAACCAGTCAGTTGCTCGATATCCAGTTCTGTTGCTTCCTGTCCCACATACAGATTTCTCAGGAGGTAGATAAAGTGGTTAGGCACTTCCATTCCTTTAAGAACTTGCCATAGTTTGCTGTGGTCCACCCAGTCAAAGGCTTTTGCATTGTCAATGAAGCAGAAGTAGAGGCTTTTGTGGAACTCTCTGGCTTTCTCCATAATCTAGCACATGTTAGCAATTTGGTCTCTAGTTCTTCTGCCCCTTCGAAATCCAGCTTGTACTTCTGGGAGTTCTTGGTCCACGTCCTGCTGAAGCCTGCCTTGGAGGATTTTTAGCATAACCTTGCTAGCGTGTGAAATGAGTGCAGCTGTACGGTAGTTGGAGCATTCTTTGGCACTGCCTTTCTTTGGGATTGGGATGTAGACTGATATTTTCCAATCCTCTGGCCACAGCTGAGTTTTCTATTGATGATGATAAAAAAAATTGCTCACTGGTCCTTTGATGTTGGGCTGTGGCAGCAGGGTGGGTAACATGACCTCTGGATTTGGGTTAAGCCCAGGGACATATTGTAGAAATGAAGAGAAGAGAACAGGATGGTTAAAGGGCACATTTTTTTCTAGTTATGAAATTTTAGATTGGTAGTTTTTTTGTTTTTGTTTTTTGAATGAGGGGCCATGCAATAGGCTTTATGATGCATCTGAGGGTTGACTATGCATACCATGTTACCAATTCTAGAATTAGGGCCCAAGCAGTCATTATTTTAGTAACATGAGTAGCATCCACATGTGTATTTACACTTTTTAAATAAAAAATACCAGAGGTGGGGCAGTGAGTGATTTTCAATAATATTCAGGGAGTGGAAACTTAACCTTCCTCCTGCTATGACTATGATGAAAATGGATTATACAAGGAGGGGACTACAATTTGGGGGAGAGAGAATTGGTCATCAGCAAGGAAAGGGCCTGACAAAAGATAACACTTATTCGTAAAGCTATCTTGAGCAGTGGGCAAGAGAGAAAAGTCTTAGACTGGTAGAGAGGAATATGGTCCTTTAAGCAATTTGGGTCCAAAGCAAGGCTTGGTTCAAAGCTTTTAATATTAAAGGCTTTACATATTAAAATCAGCACTTTACATTGGGCTCAAAAACTTACTGGCAGTCAGCATGACTGGCACATATCATTGTCACATAAGGACACTGTCCAGCCTATAACAATACATGTTCAGATTTATTCTGCACCATTTGACATGTCCAAACTATTTTTAAATGTTTATGGTAACATCTGGTTTGGCGTCTGTTTCTCTTTTCAGGATGAACTTCGGATACCTGGGGGAATTCAAAGTAGAGGATATTTTATCTTCCGGGTATGCAGGTTTTATATGTTTCTTTCTCTTTTTTTAATAAATATTTTATTGTATTTTTTCTACTTTTCTATCTGTTGCAACCAGAGTGATTTATATGAATGTTCCATTCATTTCATCTTGTCTTATACTCTCTAACATAATATTAATCTAATCTATTCTACCTAAATCGGTGTAGATTTCATTCAGTTATAAAGAGGTTCCCATTTATTATTATCCAGTCTATCATTTAATGTACTTGTCAAAATATCAATTTCTGCTAGTTCCAAAATCTTCTCAATAAATTCCTTTTTTGTTGGCACCTTTGTAATCTTCTACTTACTGGGGTATACAATTCTAGCTGCAGTTATCAGGTGTAAGGTCAAGTAAGTCTTTTTTTTTTTCTTCGAGTGTAGCTGGTAATATATTCAATAAGATGATTTCTGGTGTCAAAGCAATTTTAACCCCTAAAATTTTCTCTATCATTTCATGAGTCATTTTCCAAAAGTCCTTGGCCCTAATGCACATCCACCACATATCATAGAAGCTCCCTATTTTCTTTTCACATTTCCAACACTTATTAGAAATGTTTTATACATTTTTGTTAATTTATCTAGTGTTACATACCATCTGTAGAACATTTTGCATATATTTTCTTTTGGATTTATAGATACAGTCATTTTAATATTTCGTTCTCAAATTTGTGACCAGGCACTTAGTTCTATATTATGACCTAAATTTTGAGCTCATTTTACCATACAATCCTTCACAATTTCATCTTCCATTTTTGCTCCATTAAAGTATTATATAAACATTTAATCAGTTTTTCCTCTGAATCCAGCAATCCCTTATCTAAAGGTATTTTGTCTTTCTGAAACCCTTTCTGAAACCTTTTACATATCTTGATTTCAACAAGGTAATCGACCACCAATGTAAGATAATACCTTGTTTTGCCAGTTCATCTTTGTTCTTTAGATTAAAATCACTATCTAATATCTCAACATATCTCCCGTTTGTACCTTGAGATGTTTTTGCTGGATCAGAGAATGCTTCTAATGGAGCCACCCATAATGGTATGTTTCTATAATGTTGTGCCTTAACTGTCTTCCAAACCCATAACAGAGCTATCCTGATCAAATGTAAATTAAATGTTTTAACATTGCTTATCATCTTGGTACCATAGGTAGGCATGCCAGCATAGCCTTAAATCATGCCCCTCAATGTTTAAAAGTCTCCCTTTTTGTAGAAAAACCCATTCCCTCACCCAGGACAGAGCTGCTGCTCTGTAATAATTCAATAAGTCTGGTAGGTCAAACCCTCCTCTTTCTACAGAAGGATGCTTTGTTTTGTATATTCAGTTGTTAAATAACTGGACTATGATCAACAAAGTTCTTGGTAGCGTGTCTATAGTCTTCATCACTTTTATCCAGCTTTTTGGAATTCAGCATGCACGTGTGTTTTTGAACCCATGTTTGCTGACAGCGTCTACCAAGTGAAACTCTTCTGCTATAGACTGGAAGGTTTTTGATAATATAGTCCTTCTTTCTTTATTCCCTTTTAGTAGCGTTTGACTGTTTGTATCCAGTTTTCTATCCAGAACTGCATTGAAGTCCCCTACATAGCAAATACCTTTGTACTCTTTATCAGCCAATTCTTTTTGTAGTTGTTTGAAAAATTTATCTTGATTTTTTTTTGAGCATAAATATTCACTATCAATGTTTTTTCCTTCCCTCTTTGAATTTCTACTATCTATATTCTTCCAACTTGTGATGCAAAAATTGGTTTAGGTTTCAGATCCTCTTTTATAAATGTTGCCACCCCTCTCTTTTTTTCTTTGTTGTCTGATGCAGCGAAGAGCCTCCCTAATTTTGGCATTTCCAAATATTTCAAGTCTTTTTTTCCTATGGGTTTCTTGTATGCATATGACATCCAAATTAATTTTCTTAAGCTGATGGTTTCCCCCCATTTTCCAGGTGCATTCAATCCATTTACATTAATAGAGGTTAGTTTCAGCTGATTTTTAGAGATTTCCTGCTTGCTTACTACCTCCGTAGTGCTCCCTCTTCCTTGTAGATCTGGTCTGAATCTGTACTAATTCTTTAGGTGTTTTTTGCTTCTTTGGTTTCCTCCTCCTCCTCTTCTTCCTCCTCCTCGGATTCTTCTTCGCTTTCCTGGGTTATTTCTGATTCTGCTGATTTCCTGCCTTCTGTTGTATCTTTCCTTTGAACTTCTTCCTCTTTTCTTTTCTTCTCCCTTCTTCCTCCATATCTATCCAGGAAGGCCTCTGCTTTATGCGTAGTGTTTATGTATTGTCGCTGACCTTGATAGTAGAATTGCACACCTTCTGGGATGATCCATTTGTAACTAATCTGCTTTTTCATCAAAAATTCTGTTAGTTGTTTATAATCCACCCTTTTATTTCTGATTCTCCAGGGAATATCCTTCAATATTTTGTAATCTTTACCTTTCCAAACCAGCTGTTTCTCTTTTAAATTTGCCAAAACTTGATTTCTAAAAGAGCTCCTTAAAACTTTTACATGAATCTCTCTTGGTTTACGGTTGCTTCTTGTATATTTGAGATTCTCCATGCATTGTCCAGATTCTTTTCTATTTCTTCAGGAGCCAATCCTACAATAGGAATGAGTAATTGTGTTATAATTGCTCTTAAATCTTCTTCCCGTTCCTCTTCTATGTTTTGAAAGTGTAGTATATAGGAGGCCTTTTCAGTCTCAAGATAAGTCAAAGTTCTTTCCTGCTGTATTATTTTTGAATCTTGCTCCCGTTCATTGCGCTCCAATTTAGGCAGCCTATTTTTTTGCATATTAACTTGCTTTGTTAATTTCAAGATTTCCTGTTTTTCAGGATTTTCTGCTGATTCACATTCACTTGGTTTCCGAAGTCTTCTACTTTTTTGACTAAAGTTTGTATATCTTGTCTAATTTGTTGTGCATATCTGTCCAGTTCAGACAAAAAAAGACTTGCATTCTCTGTTCCATCTGTCTTAATTCAGCATTGTATATCATCAACTTTGTGACACCTAATTCAATTTGGGGACTCCCTTGTCCAGCCTGTTTCCCCCTCTGTGGCATTATAATTTCAATTAAATTTGTCTATCTTCAAAACTATAAATAAGTAAATATATAACTTCCTACTATCTTTGTCTATATATCTTTGTTGTTATCTTTATCCCTATTAGTATAACAAAACCATATTAGTAATATTAGCTCCTTTAAATATAATCAGTTTCACGGGTTTGATTTGGTATTCCCAACTTTGATATATATTCCAATATGTCAGAGTAAACAAAAAAGAAGGAAAAAAGAAAGAAAAAAAAAGAAAAAAAAAGAAAACTTTCAAGAACTCAGATGATGCTATTACCTCCTTAATATCTAAAGCTCAGAAGTCCCAAATTGGTAAAACAAAATCAGGCACAGTCCAGCAGTTCACCACCATAAATTTCCAGTTATATAGTTCCAAGAATATTTGCCAATTCCAAGATAAACCACCAACTTCAGAAAAGGAGAGCCTGGTGCTGTTTGTTCCACTCAGATAATAAAAGCAAAAACAATTATCCTTATATCCCGCAAAAGGCTCAGAGAGGGGAAGACAGATTACTTTTCATTGTTTTTTTCTCTTTTTCTCACTTTCGGAGTCTAATCACTCCCCATCTTTGCCTTTAACTATGAAAAACTGTAGATATATATATATCCCAAAAGCAATGTCCAGCATTCTTCTTGTTTAAAAGTCCGATTTCTTATCTTTATTGAGCCTCTTTACTCCAGCCCAAATATTTCTTCTTCTTTAATCACTCTGGGACAACAGTTCTGGTAACTCACAAATTATGTCACATCAGCAACATGGTGACCAATGCTCAATCCAGATAACAGCTTGTTGAGATTTTGGGGGCAGACAAGCAGATTCCTCCACCTATTTGCTCCCACTTGGTCCCAATCTCTTCTGGGGTGTTATTTCTCCTGGTGACACCCACAGTGGAGCATTTCAGCCCCCGCTATCTGTTTGATGGAAAGGGATGCCTTCTCAGAGATCTGAAAGACACTACCTTCATGGCTATGCAACAAGCCCCACCTCCCAGTTTTTATGTGTTCCAAACTCATTTGCATATTGCAAAAAGAGATCACAGGACTATTGAAAAGTTTGGGAGAAATTTGATTCAATAAGTCTGTGAGGTGATGGCTTGATGGTAGCTGAGGCAACCAAATACAGCAACTAAATGACCCTACTTTAAAATTATTGTTCAGTAGATTTAGGAAGGTCTTGTGTTCTCATATGCAGACATAACCAAAGTCAAAGCGACATCATGGCTTATGGGTAACTATTTATCATTGAAGTAGGTTACTTCATTTATTACATGGAAATGTTTGGCAGGAACACTAAATAACTTATCTTTATAACAGCTTAAAATAACCCTTATATATTCTAAATAGATCTGACTGGATAGCTTAGTGGCTTAGATATCAGGCTGAGGAGCCAGAGGTTGAGAGTTTGATTCCCTGTTGTGAAAAAGAGCAAAAATGTGTGGCCTTGTGCAAGCTGCACAGTCCCAGATTGCCCCTAGAAGAAGGGAATGGTAAACCACTTCTGACCACTTACTACCTAGGAAACCCTGGAAAGTGTCACCATACGTCAGAATTGACTCAACGGCACAGAATTATTATTATATATTCTAAATACACAGTAGACAGGGTGTGTAGACCAGGCATAAAGACCTGGTCCATGGAAATGTCTCAGTCAGTATACAACCTCCTTCAGCAGGCCCACCAACTCTCACTGCAACACATTGTACTTTATTCTGATGTCTAATCAGAGACAGGCTGGGATGTCCATGTCTGGACCATAACTAGGGCAGAGCAACCATGGCTTTGCATTAGGGTACCAAATTTAAAGGGCACATCTCTTCTCCCAGACCCCCAAGATTAGCCCAGCCTGCCATAGGAAAAAATAGCTGTAGACCAGGCCTCTGGAATGGATGTAAATGCTGATTTTTAGCAGGCTGTGTAGACAATAGATTTAGCTGCCAGGGAGAACAGAGGAAAAGGTGGTTGGCTACCAGATCCTGCTGAGCCAGGCGAGGTCTACCCAGGGCTCAAGTAAGACCAGACCTCTGGGCTGGATAATACAAAAAGTGAGCTTATTATATATACAGTATGCCATTCTAAACAATGACCAAAATCCTATTGCTCTGCATAGTAAAACACACTAGAATAGGCTTATTGAATCAATGGGGATTTAGTGAGTCAACTCCTCCATAAATCCCATTAATTCAAATGAGCCTATATATGTGACAGACGTTTGATTTCTTTTTGTGCCTCCGACAGTTCTGCTGATCTCCTATGGCAAAGGGGAGATGCCGACAAGGTCTTCAGTACTGAAATTGTTTATTGCATTATTTTCACAACATGAATGACAAAGTTAATTTATGGGCACATTTTGCATTGCATGGCCCAGATACCAAAATTGCTAGTTACAGATCTGTTTACTGTTCAGGGATGGAAGAAGACAGCTTTTCTTGGGCTATGTCTAGAAGTAGTATGTCAATTAGTAGTTGGGAGATAAGGGGATATTCAAAAGCATTTAAATTTTAAAGGTCTTGTTTAAAATATCTTTAAATTTTAAATCACTACTTTTGTGTAGACAAATAAAGCCCTTCAGTTGGAGGTTAAATACAATGAGACTTTTTGAGAAATATCTGCAATAATGAAAATATTGTCCTTCCCACAGCAAAGAAACAATAGCAGAGGACAGCAATGATGATCAAAGATAATAGGTAGAATAAAGAGTTTACCTGGTACTTCCGACGGTTGACCATCTGTAAAAAAGGTTGACTATCAATTTTATTTTGCTCCAATGCAAAGTTTTTATTTCTAGGGTTTAACATTACACAACCTGTCATATGTAAATATTCAAAAGTTAACTAAATGTATCCAAGGCAGTCCATCACTGTTATGTGTGTCTAGGCCAGCCTCACAGTTTGAAGGTCTAAATCAAGTAAGGTGCTGATCACAGATGCTTGAGGTGAGAATTGTACTCAACCATTTTCTGCTGTCTTTTTAGCTCATACAGGAAGTGGCAAAACTGACCTTCAGTATTTATCAGTAGAAACGTTTCTTATGTAAGGAAACTGAAGAAGAATTTTGCAGCCTTCATGAAGCTTTCTTAGATTTAGAATTGCCTTAACAATCATACTAATTTACAATTGTTTTAGAATAATTCCAGAGCATACTTACTATACATGTGATCTTATTTCTTGTCAGCCACGCAATGGAAGGAGATCAGCTCCCTTTCGCTAAAATGGTATGTATCTTAATTTTTCATTCAAAATTATTATCCAAAGCCCATTTTTCTTTAATGCATATGTGTGAAGAAAGAAGGATTGAGGGAGAGGGAGACAAAGAGGTATGCTAGGGAAATTAGTAAATTTAACACATAAGATTTAAGTAGCATAGATTTCTGAAGGCAAAATTATACCTAAGTGTCACTGGATGAGAGCTTCAATAGGCAAATGCAGAAAGGATCATTCAGTATCTAGACCAAAGGTGTTTGGGAGCTGTGATTTGCTGTAAGGGCAAAACAAACAATAGAGTCAAACATTCATTATTTTGAGGTGGCAGTTGTTCAGGAATGAACTCAAGGATTACTTTTCTAATCTAAAATTGTGACTCATTCAAGAACTGTGTCTTGAGAGCAGCCTACAATATTATTTTGGCAAGAGTACGCTGAATGAGGAATACCACAATGAAAATCACTGATAGGTGCACTGTTGTGCCACCAAGATACTGAAGATAGGGTTGGTTTTTTTTGTTTTTTTGTAAAACTAGCAGAGTTATTGGGAAGCAGTCATATACAGCACCTACACTATGTAGTAGGTTAAAGCTTATGCTCTGCAGCTGGAGTGAAAGGGAAAAGGCCCTCATTCAGTCTCTAGTAAGAACAAAACAAAGTTTTTTGTTTTTATTTCTTCCATTCAAAAATAGTTTTGAATATTTGAGTATTAGTTTTAAGCTGCCACAAAGCGTAAGTGCTGTATATGACTGCTTCCAAATAACCCTGCTAGTTTTACAACAGAAAAAAAACACCCTGTCTTTAATATCTTGTTGGCACAGCAGTGCACCTGTCTGAGATTTGCGCTGTGGTATTCCTCATTCTATATATATATATATTGCAATGCATGTAGGTACAACTATAATCAGGCTACCAAACTTCAAATTTTACAGTGATTTCCATTTTTAAAATTAAAGCTCTCATGGTAACGAGCCTTCAGAGGTGGAGCTTTCAATCCCACAGGTAGAACAGATGAAGCCACAATTCTTCTGGCGCTGCTGGGTAACACTGTTGGCTGGGGTGTACCAGTGGCAGCCAAGGGCTCTTTTACAACACATCAGGGACTTGTGGTGTCACTCCTGTGACTTTGCATTAGAAACAAGAATTTCAAGGATGCTGTTCATATAGAAAATATATGCTAGGTCTGTACTATATTTCAAGACATTTGATTTAAAAAAGGACAATTGCAATAGTGTTAAGTAACATTTATTTCAAATTAAATAAACATTTCCCCCTTTTTTTCCTCCAGAATTGTTCCTCCTTGGACCTAGAATTGCCATAGGATTCCAGACAAGATGGGCTTTCTATTCTTTATTACATTCACAAATCTTTTTTTAAAAAAAGATCATTCACAATGTAAATTTATTATAATTTGCAGTGCAATACAATGCTGTGCATATTTATTCATAAGTAAGTTGCATTATGTTTAGTTGGGTTTACTCCTAAGAAACTGCACAGGATTGCCATGTAAACCACAAGTATTTCTCCATTCCCTCTTTGTAACTGTGTGTAATAAAACTAAAAGCAGTATGACCTTGATGTTACATAATTGCATGCAAAAGATCTTGTCAGTAACAGAGTAGCTACATGGAGAGTTTTTTTTTCCCCTTTCTTGTATTGTAAATAAAAGCACTCATTAGAGAATTGATTTTAATGAGAATATTTTAATGAGAATGTTTCAGTTTTTAGTGTCATGTTTTTCCTGGTTTGTGTCCTGTGATTTGCAATTATGGTTTAAGTGTTTTTGTAATATAACTAGTTTAATATCTCACATGGATTAAATGGGCCCTTCTTGTGTACTCTGAAATTTCTGCTGTTGGAGAAATAGAACAATGTAACTATAGTCAGTGAAATTTGGAAATGTAAAAATTCATAAAGAGGAGAATTGAGCACCATGAATACAAATCATGTTTAGAAAACACAAATGACAACAGTCTATTATTGTGCTAAATCCAATTTATTCATTCCAGAGAGATGCTTGTGATAGTTTACTATTGTTGTTGTTTAGTCATTAGGTTGTGTCTGACTCTTCATGACCCCATGGAGCAGAACATGCCAGGGCCTCCTGTCTTCCACTGCCTCCCAGAGTTTGGTCAAATTCATGTTGGTAGCTTTGATGACACTGTCCAAACATCTCGTCCTCTGTTGTCCCCTTCTTCTCTTGCCTTTTCACTTTCCCAACATCAGGGTCTTTTCCAGGGATTCTTCTCTTCTCATGAGATGGCCAAAGTATTGGAGTCTCAGCTTCAGGATCTGTCCTTCCAGTGAGCACTCAGGGTTGATTTCTTTCAGAATGGATAGGTTTGATCTCCTTGCAGTCCAGGGGACTCTCAAGCGTCTCCTCCAGCACCACAGTTCAAAAGCATCAATTCTTTAGCAGTCAGCCTTCTTTATGGTCCAGCTCTCACTTCCATACATCACTGCTATGGAAAAACCATAGCTTTGACTATGCGGACTTTTGTTGGCAAGGTGATGTCTTTGCTTTTTAAGATGCTGTCTAGGTTTGTCATTGCTTTCCTCCCATAGTTCACTATAGAAGAAGCTAAAAACCTGTGTCACCCTAAAACTAATAAATTTATCAAGCTAATGATTACACTTAAGGCTTCTTTGTCTTGGAATTACCAGAGATTTAGCTCTGAAGGCTAGTTTCTGTGCTGAGACATAATTGTGGCATACATGACATTAAAATAAAGTGCCTTTGTACATGTGTCCTGTGACTCTGTTGTATCACTACATAATAACAGTGTACCACCATATATCATGGAACAGGCAAACAAGCTTTTATATTATATGGTCTTGTTTTGAAAATCGAGCATATCAGAGCCATGCTGACTTGGGGATTCTGGAAGGTATTGTACAAAAAAAACTTTTGAGAAAACCAGTTGACTCAAGAATTTCAAGCAGGAACTGAGGGAGAGCTGTTGGAGTCAGTCTGGATACGTGCAATGGGTGAGGGCAGGAAAAGTCTTAAAGCTATACAGCTCAAGAATATTCTGTCCACTGCTCAGGAAAGCAGTACCTGAACCCATACATGTAAATCACAGAGACCATGAAGATGAAAGTAACTCTAGTTCTGATTACATCCATCATACAAACAGAAGAGATTGATGTGGTAATGGCCAGGATATCAGCATCTAGAATTTATCTGCATTCAATATTTATTGTTTTTTGTCATGCTTTTGTATATTTAGAATTACTTCTCCTTCCACCCACACAGAAGAATATATTTGAGGCATATATCTGATACTTTAAAGAAGACAGATCTCTGAAGTTGGCAGGTGGCATTTAGTGGATATTCTACTGGCTCCTCCCACTTACTGTCCAGAATTGGCAACATTCTGAAGCAGTTTGTTGGCCATTCTACTTGATGAGCTGGTTTTCTGTAGACCTGGCCTCACATTTCCTTGACACTGCAGGGCCAAGTGACAAGAGATCACCTCTGCTGCACAGAAGGGAGCCAACATGCAGGTCAGAGAAGTGGGGCACTATTGCATATATGTGATGAGCAAAGTTCAACATTTATTTGCATCTATTTCTTCAAGCAGCAACAGTTTACCCCCAGGCTATTTTCAGCCAGAAGTTGCTTTCTTTTAGTACTGTTCACACTGGTATTTCAGTATGAAGCGAACTACTGATGTTACTCTGCTTTTTTCCCAAGCTAAGAAAATATGTAGGTTGCTCTCCATATTCTCTTTCACTTTATGCTCAATACTGTTTTGGAAAAGACGTTGTATCAAGTATTTAAGCTAATAGAGGTAGAAACCTGTTTTCCCCTTCCTAATTAAAGATTATGAGAGCCAGTTTGGTGCAGTGGATAAAGTGTTGGATTAGGAGACCTGAGTTGAAATACCTATACAGATGTATAAACTTAGAAGTGGTACCAATGGTAATGGTAAAACACTATTTGAATATCTCACATGTCTTAAAAATACTATTAGGGGCATGATACATTAGAAATGAGTTGATGACATATAACAACAGCAACCAATTTAAGAACGAGCGACTTCCAGCCATGTCAGTTACTCAGTGGAAGGATCACATCCAGCAGTATTTCCAGAAGTAAAAAGGCCAGTGCAAACATGTTCTGTGGTGGAGAAGGAGCTACTTGAGGAGGACCACAGTGGGCAACTGTACCCCCCCCTTATGGTTTTTGAACTTCAGATTCCATGATCCCTCACCCCTGACTATGCTAGCTAGAAGTAGCTTTAACTGGAGGCCAGTGACAACAAAAGAGTCACCACTGCCCCTGCCTGAAATAAGTGGTAATCCAAGAAGCTCTTTTAAGATATGGAATTGAAAGTGAATGTAAGGCCCTGGTCACATGAAGGAAATGTTTTCTAATCCCCCAGTTTGTTTGTTTTTTTTGGTTGCTTTTTTTTCTGTTCACACAATGTGCAGTCAACATTGAGATGTTTTCCCAGGCAGCGGTATAACTGCAGAACATTTCCCCATTGCCAGGAAGATTGTGTTATTATGTACCTTTGTTGTGCCGGTGCATTCCTTACAGGGATTGCCTGCGTGCATGACCTACCCCGCTTTTAAGCATCAAAGTTTTTCATTCACAAGACTGATTTCTTACCACCTGAATCAGGAGAGATACAATAGGACTCTTCAAGTACTTGAAGGACTGTCATACAGAGGAAGGGCAGAATCTGTTTTCAACCATCCAAGAATGCAGGATATGTAATAATGGGCTTGAATTACGGGAAGTCGGATCCTGGTCAAATATCAGGAAAAAACTATTACACCAGTATGAACCAATTAACTTAGGAGGTAGTGAGTAGAGATGGTCATGAACCTCAGTTGATTCATACTATGGCATCACAGATGCTGCACATTCCCTTCCGCTGCCTCCCTAGCCAATGACCCACTCACCAACTGGAGCACACTCCTCTCCTCCTCCTCTTTGGTTGTTCGACCAGACCCCAGCAGGAGCACAGGTTTGCCTGTCTTGCCTCCTTGTCTGAATGGGCGGCCAGCCAAGGAGGCGGGGCAGGGGAGCCCATGCTCCTGCTGGGGACTGGTTGAACAGCTAAAGAGGACAAGGAGAGATGTTCACGCCAACAGATGAGTGGGGGATATACCGTAGCTGAGGGAGCAGGGAAAGGAATTGGCATGAACCTCAGTTCAGAGGTTCATGCCAGCCTCTCGTGGTGAGTGCTCCAACACTGGAGGCATTTAAGAGAAAATTAGACAACCACCTGTTGGATATAAACTGATTTGGATTGCTGCATTGAGGAAGGTGTTGGACTCCATGACCTTATAGGTTCCTTCCAGGATTATTATTGTATGATTCTAAGAAAGCATGGGTGGTTGCAACTCCGACACATTTTGATAAAGGTTGAACTTGAATTTGGTAATTAGCCATTATTAGCTAATTAGTTGAGGTACTCTCATCAGACACTCAGACACAAATTTCCTTTGATGAAGCTGACACTGAACCTGTCGGGGTTCGGTAGAAGAGACACCAGGACCCAGCCCAGAGCAAGACCACAGGAACAAGGTACAACCAACCCCACATCCCAAGCAGAGACCAACCAGCTAGGGTTTTGAGTCCAAACAGCAGCCGGGTGGAAAGATGATGCAAATCATGGTCAGATAGCCCAGGGGTCAAA